TCTTCTAAGAGCCCAATAAGCAGAAGTGTTGATAATGCTGCTAGACAATATTGAACTTCTATGGTTCAGCAAATTCTCTGGTTTGGCACTGGTCAGGTCCCAGGAGTAGAGAGGTTCAATCTGTAAAATGCTATATGGAAAAAGGACTGCTGCCCATAAAATGGAAACCATAGGTGATACCAATTATCAGATGAGGCAAGGTTCATACAAGAGCTTATTGCCCTTCACATCATATGAGGAGGAAATCATGAAAAAAAATCAAAATGTAAGATGAATGGAATACTTGGAGAAAAGGGACATTACAACTAAAATACAAAGTGGTTTTAGAAAAGAAGATACAAAAAAGTGGTTTTAGAAAAGAACAAAAAAGTTGTTCATATTCTGAGATTAGAAATGAAGATACAAAAAACATAAGGATTAATAACTTAATGATAGATTTCCAGAATAATGAAAAAGTATATGGCATACTGTGGGGGAAAAGCCTAGCCAAAATTGCAATAAAGGGGAGAATGTTTTGGTGGATAAAAGACTCTTTAAGTGACAACTGTGGGTACATCTAGACTGCAGAGCTTTTCTGGGATAAAAGCTCTGCCGTGTCCAAGGAACGCATCCGCTTTTCCGAAAAAAAGTCAGAAAAGTGGACACGTTTTGTTGGCATCCCTGTAAACCTCATTTTATGAGGAAGAAGGGATGCTCCAAAAGAGGGGTTTTTTTTTCTGAAATTTGGTCCCGTGTAGATGGGCCAAATTTTGGAAAAACCCCTTTAGGAAGTAAATCAGAAAAAGATACTCAATTTGTGTACCACAAATTGAGTTTCTTTTTCCAATTTATCTTGGTAGTCTAGACATAGCCTGTGTTATCAAAAACCTACAAGCTTACTCCACAAGGAAATATTACAAGTCCTACTTTGTTTTCCATTATGATAAATGAACTCCTGGAAAGTGTGCAGACAGAAATAGGCATTTTCCTTTTCACAGATGACTGTGATCTTTGGAATAAGCATAAAACACTTAAAATAGCCATGGTCAAGACAAATGAGGCACTCCACAGAAATTCCAAGTGGGGAAATGATTGGGACTTGAAATACTCACTTGTAAAAACAAAGGGGCTATGTCTATACTGTTTTGCGCAAGAGTTCTTGTGCAAAAGGTCTTCCACAAGAGCGTGTCCACACTGCCATGTGCTTTTGCGCAAGAGCGTCCATGGCAGTGTGGATGCTCTCTTGTGCAAGAAAGCTCTGATGGCCATTTTAGCCATAGGGCTTTCTTGCACAAGAAATTCATGTTGACTGTCTACACTGCCTTCTTGTGGAAGAGCTCTTGCACAAGAGGGCATATTCCTCATGGGGAGAGGAATAACTCTTCCAAAAGAAGCCCTGTTTTCTGACGCTGTACTGTAAATTTACTTGTGCAAGAACGCACGTGCAGTGTAGACGCTCTGCAAGTTTTTGCGCAAGAACAGCCATTCTTGTGCAAAAAGCCTGCAGTGTAGACGTAGCCAGGGAATGCTTTTAACCAGGAAGAAAATTAGGGCAGAATGGGACTTATCTCTTTATGGTGAGAACATTCAGATAGTTCAAAAGTTTATATTGCTAAGAGCAGTGTTCCCTATGAGCTGTTACCTTATGTGGCCACTCAGGAGAGATTCAAATGCTACCCAGATGATTAGCAGAGTGCCCACAGCTACAATTTTTGTTTTTACTGGCACTGCACATCCACACATGCTTTGGTACACATAAAATGTATTCTGCACATGGATGGAAAAAATCCTCATATGGATGGAAAAGATTAGTGGGAACTTTGACTAAGTGTAGTGTTTGATAATAAATCAACCTGGAAAAGTTGCATAGATAATATCCTACAAAAGTGTAAAGATGCATTTTCTTAAAAGTGTAGCTGAAAACAAATGATCATAAATAGAGCACTGGTGAGACCAGTTTTAGACTAGAGATTGTAAGCTTTTGGGCAAACGTATATACAACTCCAGTATATCTTGCAAGCACCTATCAATCTAAGGATGAAACTATGATGTCTAACCTTTTGGGCAAAGGTAAAGGGGAAACATGAATATAGATGTGCACAATGGAGTTACGAGGATTGCTGGGTGCTTACGAGACACAATTACATCGATTGACACAGAGTTCCTTATAGTATCAGGGTAAAAAACTGGCCGAAGAAGATATATGAAAAAGAAAAGTTGGCAAATTAATTTTTTAGTTGTGGGAAATCAAATACTTTACATTTATTCACCATTTCTGGCTTTGGCGTTGTATTTTAAAAAAAGTGGGAAAGAAAAAACCTACACATTATGCTCACTGAAATTTCTGAATTTATTTAAGAAAAATAGGGGCAGATTTGCCAAGTTTATACAGATGGATCAAAAGATGACAGCACGGGTAGGGCAGGAACTGTATTCTGTGTTCCTAATCTTGGAACCTAGAAATCTAAAAGGCTATGAAATTATGAGACCTAATGATGGAAATAATGCAAGCTGGTAATGGTGTAACAATAGCATGGATTCCGGCATATATTGAAATACCTGGAAAGGAGAAGAATGAAAAACATGTTCTAAAAAATGTGATGGTGGATACTGAAACACACTGAAGTAGACAAGAATTCTGAAATGTGGTCAGGAAGGAACTTGTGAAGAATGGCACAAACTAGGAATTCAGGAAACAACAGGACAAAGACTCCATGAGGTATGCTCAAAAAAAAAATCAAAGTTAATACTATAATCCACAGTCATCACTGAAAAAGGGAAACAGTTGTTTTTAGAGTGTTAATGGTCACTGTGCCTTAAATGATAAGTTAAAGTACTAAAAAGACAAAGACCAGCTGTGTAATGTGTAAAACCAAAGAAGCTGTTGATCACGTGGCACTGTGAGTAATATTCTATGGAAAGAAAGTTGAAAAATGGAGTTGGCTCAAAATCAAAGGGACTGTGGAGAGTTTCAGGAAAGTGGAATAATGACAATAAAAAGCCTTGCTCCTTTTTCTTAAGGATACTATTAGACTACATAAAAAGATATAAAACAAATCTTGGTTAAAATGAATGCAGAACATGCTGGTCACAGTGGCAAAAAAAACGAACAAAGACAAAGCTCTTGTTCAGGGCTGATTCATAACACAGGGACACTACTACTTTCACCACTTTCATGAACTGCAGGCCTTGAACATATCCTCCCAGATAGAATTCAAAACCAACATGACATTTTGGGCTGCTTCTTGGCTTTGTGACCAAGCAGAGCCAAACATCTGTCTATCCAGGTGCCCTGTGTCTTCACCACCTATTGGGCTTTCATTTTACATGGATGGTTATGATAGCATCCATCTTTATTGAGCAAGGGGCTAAAAGTGTCTCTTTGGAGTCAGACTACATTCCCTTGGATGAATGCAGACAACTCATGTGTAAAGGCTGGCCTTTATTGGGAGCCTGGAATTGCTTACTGAAGCTAAATTTCCATCCTGCAAGCCAGGTAATCATCAGGATTACAACTAATAAATGTCACCAATCAACCAAAAGTGTGAGTCCTCAAATTCACAGATGCAGCAGAGAGAGGGCTGAAAGTCACCAGAAATAGAAAAAAGTCACAACAGAGAGAAGAGTGGGGGTGAAATTGCAAAAAGACATGAAAGCCCAAGTTGGAATAGAAGCTTTTAGAATGCACAGTTTGGAAGGAATAATCAGTTTGATTCCTCCATAAGCACACAGCCACTAGTAATGACTTATGTTTTTCTCAGTTCTATCTGAGATGTGTTCATCCTTAATAATTATTACTAGGCTCTCTCCAGTTACCTAAATTGCTGAGACAATTGTGACTTTCAAGTTTCCCACTAGAGGGCACCAAATTACTGCTGCATCATTAGTTCATCTAAATCATCTATAACTGGAGAGCAGTTTTGCTGGAAAGGGGTGACACTTTCATAAAAAGGGAACTGCAGCCAAAACAACCCTCAGGATGTGAAACCAAGACAAGATATACACTAGAACGTTTTGCTAGTGTAATAATGTTGTTAGGGGTGTGATTCTTCATAGCATTTTTATGCTGACTGAATGCCCTAGCATAGACACAGATGTACCAGCAACAAAAGTTGTTTTGCTGATATAGCTTATTTTGTTTAGGGTATACACTGAACAGGCAAAAGAGCCCATTTTTGCAAATAGAAGCCACATCTCCATTAGGACTTTTGCCTGTACTTCTAGAACTATGCTGGCAAACCCTTTCTAGTGTAAACAAAGTCTTAAGACTTCAGCTCAGAAAGCTTGGTGAATTGAATTGATTGGTTTGTGTTTACAAAATCCATGAGAACCCACACTGACTAGTTCCATCTGGGTTTATCTAAAGCATCCTAATCCAATATTCCCCCTCTCAATTGGAAGCCTATTTAAAGTCTGCAGAGGCTCAATGAGCCAGAGGGTAGTCATGAAATAAACACCATGTCACAAGTTCACATCCATCTTCAGTAAGCAGAGACTGAAAGCTATAGCTAACTGGCACCAGTTCAGTGGCTGATGAAATGAACTGGTGGAAAGATGTCCTCATTGCACAAGAAGAATCAAAGTTGGTGTTGTGCAGCTCCTTTGTTTAATTGGCCGCCTTAACAGGCACCCCTAGGACTAAGTGAGCCATGGAGACTGATGTCCTCTCTTGCCAAACAGATGCTGTGCTAGGCACTTTCTAAACATAGACGAACGAGACAGAGTTATGCGAAGAGATCACAGCCAAAGAAGCAGAGGGCTTGCCAACTCTTTTTTACTAGCATGCCATTTACTTAAAAATAACTGCCATGTTTTATTTTAAATAAAGCAACCATGAGTGATCAGACAATGGCACACAGCAATTACCAAGTCACAGCGGTAAGGACATTGTAACAGAATTGAAAGCCACGGGAAGGTCACATGCATTGGCAACAGTCAAGTAAGTTTTCTAGCAGAGTCTTCAGTAGCAAAACAACACATTACGGGTAGGCCCAAGTCAGGAATGGAAAACACCAAGTTACCTGTTTACCGGAGCCCATTTCAAGGCAGGTGGAGCCACTCAAATGGGAAACTGGGTCTGCAAATGGAAAAAACATGGTTTCTGAAAAATCTCACCCAAAGCCCCAAGTGGCTAGGAATGTATTGATACAATGTACTGGCCCTGGGTGACCATGGGATGTTGTCCTATAGTTTCTGGCTCAGTGGGAGGATAAGGGACCTAAGTCTTCTTCTAGCTGAGGTGGTTTTTGGAGTGAAGAATAAGGGACCTAGTCTCAGCTCTGTGTGCATTTACGTGCTTGTGCATGTGACTTTTGTTGCAATCTGCCTGCATGGTATGGATTTATTACTCACGGAAGTTGACATTTTCCAGAATTTCCCCATTCTCCACCTCACACCTTTCTATGCCTCCAGCAATAGAGTGAGGCACCCATTCACAAGGACCTGTTTTCAGGGGCAGTGCTTGAGACACTCGCCCACGCAAAATCTCATCTTCATTGCAACTGGGCACCAAAACTAGCCTTGGTTTGGATTTGGTTCCCATCTGAAGGGACCCTCCAGTTTATTTAAATGAGAGAGAAAGCATGGCTGGATAAATGGTGTGGACTCTCTGATAGTTTTGCTGACACAATGACAGCTTGACACAGTGCTTTCAGGGCATGAAGGGTCATCCGGATGCAACATGGCACACCCAGGCATTCACCCTCAATGCACCTACTTGAGCTAGATTCAAAAGAGATTGCCATCCCATGAATTGACTGACTACAATATAGGCCAGCATGTCCTTCTCACCCAAAAATCAATCCTACCCTGTCACTACTGAGACACATTGCTGCTGTCCAAGTGTGTTCTTTCAACAAACGCAAGAAGCTTTGGTCCTGTCAATTTTGTACCATTTGCTAACACTACATTAACTTTGGACCTAATTCATCAAATCATTTAAACATGCGCTGAGGCCATCCCTCATCAGCAACGTACTTAAGCACATGCTTAACTTTCAGCATATGCTTATATATTTAAGTGCTTTGCCACACTGAAACCAAATGCTTTAAAAAAACAACCCAAAACTCTCTCCCCCTCCTCCAGACCAAGTCACCTCTCCTCCCTGATTCCATTAACTGAAACCTGCAACAAGGGCTCTTCCACTGAAACTCCCTTACATCAGAAAATCCTCCCGCTTCCTCTGCTACAGTAACTCTGTAGCTCTTTCCTGCCCTAGGGCACGTATCTCTAGGGACAGAGGAGATAGGTTCCTCTTAGTTCATTCTGCAGAGCTGCAGTTCAGGAGCAGTGATAAAGGCCTGCACATCCCAGCTTGCTTTCTGACACTTCCCCTTTCTGTGGAATTTTTACCCCTTATTGCTCATACTTCTGGAAAGATGACTGATGGCCAACAAATGAGTAAGCTGCATGTCACAGCCAGTCTGCTTCAAGAAGGGGTGAATGAGTTCGCTTGTCTGGTGAGAACATCAGGTTTGCCACCAAATTGAGGGGCCTGTGTGTGGGAGCCCACATGGTGGGAATGTAGCTTGCTCGCTGTCTCCTCTGACTTTCTCTTTGCCCCTGAGCTTTTACGATTCTTTTGTCATTTTAATAATAATTAATACTTTGTGCATTTGCAGCATCTTTCAGGCAAGGATCTCAAAGCATTTCACAGAATGTAATTAAGACTCATGACTCCCCAATTTATAGAGGGAGAAACTGAGTCACAGCAAGTTAAGTGACTCGTGCGCCAGTAGCAAAGCTTAGGTTAGCATGCAAGTGTTCCAGGCTCCTACCCCAGCACAGTCTGCTCCAACTTGACTGAGATTTTGAATGAAATACTAACTTGCATTTTGGAAGACAGTGAAGAGAAACCCCCTCTAGATCCTCATCAGTTTGTATGCCGCCCCCAAGAACTGTTAGATGGCCTGGGAATGAAACGCAAAGAGCTGATAGCATCCACCACCCCTTGGGCAAGGTGTGTGTTGGCTGGGGGGGAGGCTCAGCTTCGTACTCCCAGAAGGGGCAGGGCTTCAGACAGAAGGGGCAGGGGCAGGGCCGAGGCAGCCAGCCCTCAGAGCCGCATGGAGCGAGTGGTGCAGCACTCCGGCCGCAATTTAAAGGGCCCAAGGCTGCAGCTGCTGCCTCTATCTCAGTAGCAGTGGTGGCGGCAGGAAGCCCTGAGCCCCTTTGAATTGCCGGGCTCTAGGGCAGTTGCCCCCTTTGCCTGCCACTGTCAGTGGACTGATGGTGATGAGCTCTCTATACTAGGCTACATTGCATGTTCAACATATCCTACATCAGCTTGTCTCAATTCCCTATATCCCACCCAACCCCTGATTAGGGTGTTCTGGATTATTACAGAAGTTTTGTCTGGGACAATGGTTGGTGTTCTTAGGGGCACATGTTCCTTTCAACAAGCATTCTTTATGCCAGCACACAGGCTTTTAGATGTACCACACTGGTACACTTTGCCTCACTCCAGCATGCAAGCAAAGGGACATGTGGCCTAGAGCAGCAGCTACCCACCCTTCTCTTTACCCTAAGGCTGAGGGGCAACTCGGTCTCTTTGAGCGCCCTCTCAGAATTGTTCTGCCTAGCTGCCCCACCTGGCACGAGAGATGCGGGTTGTATCACAGAATGGGCCTGTTTTGTTGCTGAGCCACTTAATAGACTCAACTGCCTTCCCTCACCTCCAATATAATCATGAGAGTGTAGACTCCAGCCCGGACAGGACTCCCCACAGGCCTTTTGGAATCTGGAACAGGATAACTGGATGTCTCTAAAGTAATGGGGGCAGGAGTTGGTTTTCTGTATCAGTGTCCTGCATATATATACCTGAACCTTCCCTCTGGCTATTGAGGACTAGCCTTACTGTAGAAAGCAGGGTGAAGATGTTTCTAGTCAGAAAGCTGAGATTCATCTGGCAGGCCCAGAAGGGTTTGCAGGCCTCAATAAACATTTATAGGAATTACAGTGTAGTTGTGAATTATCAACCAAATTATCTGCTCAAATTTGGCCCCAGTTTTATGCTAGCGAGATGTGGGTCTCTGGGACCGGGATAGGGGTAAACCCAGAGTCCATCACAATGTAGGACTTCTGATCCTTCTCCTTCATTGTATGTAGGGGAGACAGTTCCATTACTCATGGAAAATACTCTGTGTGGTCTCGTGGGTAGGAAACTACAGTGGGACTAAGGAGAGGAATTTTGTTCCTGTCTGCTGTGTGGCCATGGGCAAATCCGTTCCTCTTGAGTTTTCCCTCACACCCTTTGGCTGTCTGTTTATTTAAATTGTAAGCTATTTAAGGCAGGGGCTGGCTCCCACTATGTGGCTAGACCATGCCTAGCACAATGAGGTCCTGATCTTCGCTGAGGCACCTTGGTGCTACCACAAAACAACTAATAAGTAAACAATAACACATCAGCTCAGAAGCACTAGTGGTGACCCTAGGGGCTTCATTCCTGGGCCCCCCATTAATTCCCAAGGAACCCACTCAGCTAGCCAGGCTCCCCAGTGAAGAGACAGTTTTGCTCTAAACGCCTGACGATAGTCATTATTTGACATTAGTGCATGAATGCTGCTATAAAGGACTTGCCAATGGTTGCATGCCAGGCCTATGAGTGGGTTCAATTACATGTAATTTTGGTGAACATTTTATTCCCTACCTTAATAGCCACTCAGCATTTAATGTCTATCCAGCATTTGGGAGTCCAGAGCAGCGAGCTTCCCAGCCCAGGTAAAGACACTCAGGTTAGCAGGGGCTCGTGTGAGAGCTCTAAGAATAGCTGTGTAGACAGAATTTTGAAGTTGCAGAGTACAGGCTGGAGCATGGGCTTTGAAGCCCCCCCTTCTTTGCTGGCTTCAGAGCTCGGGCTCCAGCCTCCGCCACACCTTGCTGAAAACCTGTGTTTAAATAAGAGAGACTCTCCTATAAGCCGTATGAAGCAATAAAGCACATGAGACACAGCTCCCTCCCCTCGCTGCATGACACCTGGCGCTGCCTCTTCCCTCAGGTCTCTGCAGTGCCCGCAACACAACTTCCTGTCTTTTCAAAAGCACCCATCTGACTTGGCCTGGCCAGTCTCCCTAGTGCTGCTCTCCAGAAGGGTTTATAGCAGCGGTTCCCACACTTTTCGGCATCATGCCCCCTTTTTGATTTTTGAGAAACCCCCCCCCCCCCCACCACCTCCAAAAAAGGAAAAGCTTGTTGAGCAAAAAAAAATAAAGAAAAGGAACTGAGTGGGGCCGAACCCTCCCCCCCCCCCCCGGAATTTCTTCACGCCCCCCAGTTTGGGAACCCATGGTTTATAGCAAAAGGTGCTGCAGTGGCAAATGGCCAAAGAGCAGGCAGACCGCACACAGCCATTTGAAACTCTAAACCCGTTTTTCCCCCTCAGTGACTTTTCAAGACAAAAGCAAACAAATAACACTAACCAGTAGATGAGTGAGACTTTTCAGTTAATACAGAGGTCGGTTTTTTTAAATCAACATCAGGCCAAAGGAAAAAGACCCAGGGACCTGCTCCTTAGCTAGTGTAAATAGGCATAGCTTCATTGCTTCCAATTGTGCTGCGCTGATTGACTTCAGCTAAGGCTCTGGTTCTGTATATTTAATTTCTTCTCTCCTTTTGCTGATGGCTTTCAGCCTTATGCTGTGAGCTGCCTTGGCAGGGGAACAAACAGCTCTGTACTAGAGGCATTATATTAAAAAAAAGGGCTCTGTTGTTATCTTTAAAAAATATAAAGCAACTGTGTAATTTCAAGAAGGCATTCTGAGCCATAGGTGATTGTGCCACTGGGGGACACTTAGAGGGTTAATAATTATACTCAACCTTCGGTCTAGTTCCTAACTACACCCTAGGCGTGTCGCTCTTGCGGAATGAGGGCATACGCCCTGCCGTCTCTCCTTGCTTAACAGGAACACAAAGTACAGTAGTAGGAGGTGCTTCCTTGAACTCTGAACAATTGGACATTTAGGGATTAATTACTGTTCAGGAGCCACTGTGTTGCTCAGCCAAGTTCTCCCAGTTAGCTTAATTAGGCCTCATGAGCTAGTCTTTAATTACATGAGCACATAC